CTCTCCCAGAGAGACTCGAGTACCGGGCCATCCACGTCTTCACCCGCAACAAAGCGGCAGTGTTGGTGATGCACAACCCGCGGCAGCAGTCAGGCCAACAAGAGATCCGACAACTATATGCCAGCGTGCAAGCTCTGCAGAGACGAGGCAACAGAGTCACTCTCTTCTGGCTTCCATCATCGATAGAGTCAGACCTGGCGCAAGCGGCCAAAGCAGCAGCAAAGGAAAGTACCCAAGTAAACAAGACACCACAAAAACGGCCGGCCAGAGCCTACTCGACGGCACTTAGGATCGCTTTACAGAGCGTGCGACAGAAGCACGGAGCCTTGCCCGACAACGTAGGAGCATATTCGAAGAAGATCGACATAGCCCTGCCGGGAAACCACACACGCAAGCTGTATGACGGACTGGCCTGGAAAGAAGCCAGCATTCTAGCGCAACTACGCACCGGAATGGCAAGGCTGAACTGGTACCTCTACCAGATCGGCGCAACCGCCGCGGCGCTATGCGCTTGCGGGCAATCTGCAGAAACGGTAGAGCATTTTCTCTTTCGATGCACACAGTGGACGGCACAGCGGACTCGGATGCTCCAACAGACGGAAACGCGGAGAGGAAATCTGTCATACTTCCTGGGAGGAAAGCGCGCGTCCGACCCTAAGGATTGGTCGCCAAGCGTAGACGTTGTCAAAGAGACGATCAAGTTCGCCATGAGCACGGAGAGGCTAGATGCACAGATCAGCCAGCAGCGAAACCACACGCAACTAACATCATCAAATTAACCGGAGACACCCCCACGCATCCTCGTGCCATCGACAGCAGGACTAGCTTCGGCCGCCGACGATAGGACGTCGAACACTTTGAGAAACAACTCCGAGATGGCCTGCTACTAACCCCACGAGCAACCGCAGCATCGACATGCAAAACTAAAAAAGACACATACGGAGACGAACAAGACTTGTATGGGCTTCTGGGAGGCAAGGATATGAACGAATGTGGAGAATATGTAGATAATCATGCGAGCCCTAAACAGCTTAGCCGGGGCGTAATAAACTATGTATGTATGTATCTGTACCCCGTTAAGCTCATGCAGATCAAAACACCTTAGCCGGCCATTTTCCTCCTGGAGGAACAGGAAAAAGATTTAGGCGCAGCTCTCGGTCTTTCGCCGAAGACATGCCGCTTCGATCCTTGGCGACTAACAACCGCGCGGTCGGTTGTAGCGAGATCTCCAGATGGTAGCCTCCATGCCTACCTTGGAACCTGTAAACCTTGCCAATGCTAAAACAGCAATGGTAATTGAAAACCTAGAAAACAGCTGGCGAATCGTGTCTAATAGTGTGCATGTCGGTACGCTCCTTGGGCTCGGTCTTCCCGTCCCCGATGCCCTTACTTGGGACAGGAATCGCGATGGATGACTGGTCTTGTGCGTCTGTGAGTCTGCGACACGACCGCAGAGTAGCAAGGCCGGCAATGAGGCCTTGGAACTTGGAAAAAATGTTGAAAATATCGAGGAGTGCGTCATCCTAGGTGACGATGGCACTGGCGGCCTATAACTGACTTCGGTATATCGCCCGGCTTGGTGCGCTAAGCTTGTATATAACTTCGGACTAGTTGGTGACGCGGTCTGAAAGGGTTACATCGCGGCCATTGTCCAATCGTCAGTGTTGCCAATGCTCCTTTCTTTCTTTTTCGATATTTCCCCCGCTGAAGTGGAGCTGACATTGGATGAACGGTGGATTGTCTGCAAATTGTGAAGGTACGGTGTATGAGACAGACTGCCGAAAGGAAAATGTGATATTCTTTCTTGCACATCAGCAATGGTGAGGTCTAGACTTCCACGAAGCACTACGCCTACGCTGTTAATTCTGCTGTTGAGAATGACTCAGGATTGTCAACCTATCAACATCTTACAAAACCATAGGTCAGCATAGTAGGAAGCAGGAGGAAAGGGGGCGGAAGGGGTGAGCCTGGTAGGGGCGGAGCGGGGCGGATATGGGTCCGTGTTTGTCATGAAGTGCGCGTACCCGCGGGGATGCCGTCCACAGCATACCTAGACTACATAAGTCTTCAACGGGCCTCTAATGCTTATTCATTGGATTGTCAAGTTATAAGAATAGCTATATTCGTGTGGCAGCTTCCCTTTGAAGAAATTCTCCTATCTGAGACGACGCCTGATCAGTGGGCTGAATTGGGAGCTGCTAGGTCTCGATTACTGATATTCCCGATGAAATAATGTGTCCAATAATACCTTGTAAGAATTTTGATTCCCCTGCATGGTCTCCGTTAGAACTACGGATATACTAAGTTATAGTACGGTCCGACCATGGCCCACTACAAAAGGTGTGCTTGCATGCGTTCGGATGTACCCGTGGCCGCGGGAGAGGATCTCGGGCACCGCCTCCGCGAAGAAAAGCTTAAAAGCCAAGAGTCGAAATGGAGTAGGATATGACTCGCTCTGCGTGCTTTAAGAGCAGAGATCGGAGGGATTACAAAGCTGACCGTGAAGAGTAGATTAAGGTGTTCAGGGGTAAGGTATTTATCATAACAGAGAATTGACGAGCGAACGGAGTGCGGCAAGTGCCACAAATTGCAACATCTTGAACCCACTCCGAGAACGCAATCTCCGCCACGGTGGCGGAGTACGTTCTTATTTTTCATAGTATCCCCCAGACGTCAGCCGCGGTCTGTTTGACATCTTATGGTTATTGCGGCACGTTGACCGACCACCAGGTCACCTACCTACACCAGAACTGCATGAGGGTCCCGACGTGTAAAGTAGACAAGGTTGCTCTAGTAGCAGTCCACACTTTCCTGAACCAACATGACGAACCACATGTTGAATTCACCAGGAACATTGGGCCCACGACCTTGTGCTTGCCATATCGATCTAAACCTGAGCCGCACTAGTCTATACTCAGCATCGGACTACGCGTCCTAGACTTCAGATCAGGGCAGCGACTCGTGTAATGTAGCATTCTAAGTGATGGAATAATACCCCCAGGAGGCCTTATCTCTGTCCCCTAGTGAGATGCAGCTGGAAGCGCGGGTAAGAAGACGTGCCTCGGTGGGGGTTATGGATGCTCTACCTTATACAGGCGGCACGGGGGTCTCGGTCGGCCTTAACCGACTTGGCGTATTGCGCCATGCTCAGGTACGCAACCACAGCAAGTCGAATGCAGGTTGACTGCCGGGCAGCTTATTCTTGGCCAGAAATGATCCAGATCAACGGAGTGCCTTGAAGAAGTTTGTAAAATAGAATCTGATGTAGATAAATAGATGTTGATTTGTCCCAAGAAGTAGACGTTCTTTTTCCAGGCAAGCTCACAGTCTTTACTTACGAACACCAATAAGCTTCACTCGTTCTTTTAGTTCAACACAAGTCATTCTTTACAGTCTCTCTTCTTATCTCTTCAAAGTTAGAACATAATCATCCACTAGCAAAAATGCCTTCCCTCTTGTCCACCGCAATCACCGTTCTCGCTGCTTCTCAGGGGATTCTGGCAGCCTGCACAAACCCTTCCGTCCGCAAATCTTGGTTGGTGCCGCCCTCTTCGCCTGAGAGATCGAGGCTATGAAGAGGAAGTTCGCTAACAGGAATTCATCAGGTCCGCCCTGACTGACGATGAAAAGACTTCGTATATTAGCGCGACCCTCTGCTTGATGGACCCCGCACAGGCTCCTGCCAAGACGGGTTATGCTGGCTCCACGACTCGCTGGGAAGAGCTCCAGGCTGCCCACGTCTCTCAGGCTCAGTTTGTTCACTCTGTTGTAAGTGTTCAGAATCATCATTCGTTAGGTAATCGAGCGAGTACAATATCGAAGATGAGGCTAATGCAGAGCTTGTTGTTTAGGGCGCCTTCTTCCCTTGGCACCGTTGGTACATGACCGTTCAGGAGAAGCTCCTCCGTGATGAATGCGGCTACACTGGCCCCATGCCGTAAGTGACTCATTACAACTCAGTTTGTTCCTTTATCATTCAAGGGTCTTCTCTGGGCTTGACATCGATGTATCATCACCATGCTTAGGCGATATTGTTACTAATGAGTGAGCCACAAACAGATACTGGGACGAACAGGCTGAGCAAGCCGTCCTCCCCTTGGAGAACGCGAGCATCCTTAACGCCAGCGTCACTGCCGGCTTCGGCTCCGCTTCCCTCGACGCGAACGGCTGCGTCGTCGACGGGCCCTACACCAACGTCAGACTGACTCTCGACACCGAGCTCAACCGCGTCGACCCTGTCTGCCTGAGCCGTGACTTCAAGCAGAAGGAATACGACCAGGTTGCTCAGAAGATTATCGATGCATGCATGGCTCTGGAGGACTATGTAAATCTGAACAACTGCTTGGGTGCTTCCCCTCACACCGGTGGTCACTACGCCATCGGTGGTACTGTAAGCAACTGCTCCATTCTTACAACCCGCACCTTTTCCTTCATGAGACTAATCGCATCCCTTAGATGGACGACCCCTCTCTCTCGCCCGGCGACCCGCTCTTTTTCCTTCACCACACCAACCTGGACCGTCTCTGGTGGCAGTGGCAGGCTCAGAACGAGTCCCGTCTGACTGATATTGGCGGTAACAATGTCGCCCAGGGCTTCTTCTGGTCCAGCGTGCAGCCCTCCTCCCTCGACGTCAACGCATTCCTGCCCTACTTCAACGACAATGGCAATGAGACCACGCTCGACCACGTCATGTGGATGGCTGGTATCGCCGAGAACATCACCATTGCTGAGGTTATGGACATCAAGAGCGATGCCATCTGCATCGAGTACCAGTGAGATTACATGTAGTGTGCTCTGCGTCTAGAGCGACTCGAACTAGCCTGTCATTTGGACTTGATATATTAACTAGCTGGCACCTCGAGAAGTGGCGATGAGAAGATGGCTATGAGTTCCTAGTTGGGCTGAGCGATAATTACATGTAACATGTAGCGGATCGATACCATATAGACTGCTTTACTTCAACGAAAAGTTTCTCGATCTCAATTCCCGATTTCAAAGTATCACTTCTGAAACTCTTGTTTTTTGGTCGGTTGATCTTTCGCAAGTTGCGCCTGAATTCGACCTAAGTATGTGAGACGAAAGAATCCAACAATCATTGTCGTGATGGGTTTACGGTGGGCACCCATACTGTACCATCGAAAATATACATGTCGAAACCGCCGCGCATATTGATAAGATACCAGAAGATGATTGGAGTAATCAATACAAGATTCCAATGTATCCCAACCTACCTAGTGTAATTATGCGATTGTTTGAGCCACCCAGTACATGATTAAGAGAACCTCTGAATGAAGACCACCCGAAAAACGAGGACCAGGCCGAAAATTCTTTCAAGTCTTGTTCACATGAACGATAATCTTCCCCGTTGTACGCCCTTCCCTAAGCTTCGCATATGCTCTTGGTGCGTCACGCCACTCAAACTTTTCATCAATCAACACTCGCACCTTACCCTCCACTATCAGCTTGCCAATCACTTCCAGATCCGCCTGACTCGGCTTTACCCTTACGGATTGGAACTTCCTCTTTCCACCCCCGAGAAATCCTGGCAATATGCTTCTCCGCAACATACCCACCATCGACTTCGACATACCAACCTGCACAAACACTCCCTCGGACTTGAGGATATGCGAGCAGCTCTCGTACAGGCCCTCTGGACTGCCAACATTATCCGCAGCGATATCGAAGATACACCCCTTCCTCTTGAGTTCGGTAACAACGTTGAGCTTGCGGTAGTCGATGACTTCGTCCGCCCCGAGACGCTTACAAAGATCAACCTTTGCGGTCGAACAAGATGCGACCACATAGGCCCCGGCAGCCTTTGCGAACTGGATGGTGAAGGAACCAACGCCGCCACTTCCGCCATTGATAAACACTTTGGACCCTGGTTTCAGCAGCTCTTTCGGAAGCGACTGAAACGCCGTCAACCCAGCTGTGCCTATAGCAGCTGCATCATCAGGGTCGACGCCCATAGGGAGCGGTGCGATGTTGGAGGACGGAGCGACGAGGAGCTGACCCAGACTACCAAATTGCGGGAGCTTAGTGCCGATGCTCAAGGCCCCAAAGACAATTTGACCCTCGGAAAATCCATCGGCGCCATTTTTGGAACGGATTCGGCCACAAAAGTCTGAGCCTGGGGTTGTGTTAGGCTGAATCATGAATTTGCCAAAAACGGGAATCTCGGGCAGCTTGTATTCAACGGGGTTGATGCCCGCTGAGATGACTTCGATGAGGACATGGTCTTTGGAGAGAGATGATGCATCTGGTGGCGTTGCGTTTTCGTTGAGGTTAAGGGAGTTTTCTAATGTCTCCTTGATGGAGCTGTATTGCCAAGCTTGCATCTTTACCGGTCGACTCGAAGGAGGTATGTAGTGGAAGTCATGTGTTATAATTTGATCTCAAGTCAGGAAATGAGGTAGGGAGCGTAAAGAAGAAATAATTTATTACATGTCTTGCCAAAACATTGAAGGTCATCAATAGGTCGAGTGCCAGATACATCCATATATCATCGCAACTGATCTCGATACGGATGGTGTCAGAGTCAAAGTCCGCACTTAGTCCGTCGGATCGCAGGGGTCATTTAAGGTTATCTCGGGTTCGGATTGACCCCTGGGTGGAAAGCTTATCTACAGGGGCCTCGCACCCTCTGGTGCTTGGATCACTAGATGAAATTTAGAGACATCTTTTAGTCTCCATGGACAACCGGCGGAGTTTGAGAAAAGAGGAAAGCGATTGATAGCTAGCTAAGATACTGCTAGTTTCCCCAAAGTGAGTCTCGAACGGAGCATTTTCTACTTGCTAGCCCCGAAGGGAGCCAGAACGAGCAAGGCGGTTACTCTGACTTTACTCCCCTTACCAGCTAAGTGTGCTGGGGTGGAGAACCTCCATGTTATCAACGATACCAAAGTCGCGAATAATACCACCAGGCGTGTAGACGCTCCCGTTGTACGCAACAGCCGCCATGCCATGACGAGGCATGTTCATCGGCTGGAGCTCCTCCCAGTAGTCAGTGCGCGCGTCATACACCTCTGTCTCGTTGAACACAAATCCAGCCTCAGGATCCAGGTTTCCTTCGCCTCCAAATGTGTAAATCCGTTGTGTGACAATGACCACTGAGACGCCGCCTCGAGGAGTGGGCATGCGCGCTCGCTCGCTCCACTTGAGCGTCTTGAGATCGAGGACATAGACTGTGTCACGGACTGCCGTCTGGCTACGGAATCGGCCACCAACAACGTAAAATTTGTTTCCGATGACGCCGCCGCCGGCGTGCTCGCGGCCTTCGGGTAGACTACGCAATGACTCCCAGTCCTCCGTGACGAAGTTGTAGGATAAATCAGTATCGACCGTCTCCTGGAGCCCGTCTTCTTCGAGCTCGAGCAGACCGATGCTACCGGCAACAATAATCTTATCGCCAGTGACGCCAAGGATGGAGCTGCCCCTCTCCGTGCCGTTAGGCATGGGCGGGATCACAGTCCACGAATTTGTCGCAGGATCATACTCGTAGCAGTTGGGAAGTGCGCGGAAAGCCGTGCCGCCAGAGAGCCCGCCGAGGATGTAGACCTTTCCGTTGGCCGCAGCGGCATTGGCGTGGTTCATGGGGATCAGGAGGGTCGCGGCGAAGGACCATTCGTATTTGGGGACGTTGTACACCTCCACAGAGTCGATTGTGGAGACATCGCTTGGCTGGCGTCGAGCTCGATGCCGACGACAAGGTAGATGTTGTCGCCGAGAGCGACAGCGGCGTGCCCCTGGCGGGGGCTACCGAACAAGGGCTTGAAGACTTCCCACGTCTCAGTGGTTGATAAGGTGCACTTAGAGGGCGCAGGGGCGGCTGCTGAATGTCCACTGAGAAGCGGCAGCAGAGCGACACAGGAGGCAAGATGCTTTGCCAACATGATGAATTATATGAAAGGTTTCAACCCGAATGGTCAGAATGTGAAGTCTTGAAGTGGATTTGTCTTTTGTGATAACGGAATTGAAGAATGATCGAGAGAACTCTTTTCCTACACACATATTCGTTGCCCCTTTTGCTGGATTTCGACACCTACTAATTCAACTCCTCCTCTCGTTATATTGTCAATACGAGCGACAAGGTCCCCCGTCAGGAGTGAATAGTTGTTCTCAACAGCGTAGCCTCGTAGAACCACAGCAGAGATGGCATCACGGAGAGTGACAAGACTGAACTCCACGCATGAAGGCTAAGAATCACTCTGTTCTCGGGAACTTTGAACTTTCCGTGTGTCTGAAATGAAGATCGTGCATACATGGAAAGACGCACTGCAAAGGTAGCATCTTCATGTGAGCAGCGTGGTGTTTCGGGTTCGGATTGACATTGGCACGGTTCTTGGCAATATAGCAATTTGTAAGTCTCCATGAACTGGTATTCACGCCAGCTGACGCATCACAAGTCTATATTTCTTGGCCGTCTCTGTCTAATGCTCTCCAAACTTGACATTTGTAATCACACCGTGTGTTGATTTAGGCAACTAGCGGAGTACGAAGGACAAGGTAGGTATAATCTTTATCCGACTAAATACACGTAACTAATAAGGCTATGGTAGGAGATAGATTTCAATTTGAGATATTTGAATCGAAGAATTGCTAGGAGTTGCCCGGCTGTCCGTCTCATCCATCACTTGCCATTGCGAGATGTTCGTTCTGACTAGCCAGTCCCGGGTTGACATAGTTTACTGGCCACCGTATCTCATGGTGCCAGTTCGGCGGAAGAGATCTAAAGATTGCGGTAATGAGGTCGCGCCCCCATTCTCTCATGAACCAAAATTGAGACCCCGCAGCGTGAATAACGGTACAATAATGGGCAAGAACGACTAAAGACGCAGGGTCTCTGGCGACAAGCAATGCTATGAAGTTGTCACGCAGGATCATAGGCCAAGACACAGCGACATTCAACTCGGGAGTGATAGACGATGCCCGCTCGATGCTATTCCGTAAGCCCAAGATTGCCTCGCCAATAATGCTCTTGACCTCGGAACCCACGTCGCGCTGATTCAGTTCACCCTGGATACGTGAAACATTATCTTGCAGCAGTGTTAGCAACTCGTTGCCGCCTAGATATGGATTGCATTTCATGAAGTCCTTCAATATGCCGTGCCGCACATTCTCCCTAGCCGAGGCCAAGACACCGCTGACGCCGCGGATAAGGGTAAAAACCTCTAGGATGTCGTCCACTTCTAGCTGACGCAGGGGGCTGTGTAGCGTCGGACCCGAGGCGGCGAAGGCGCCAATGAAGAGCAATGACGACGCAGCGAAGAGAGGGCCGCAGTTCGCAGGCGTGACGTGCGAAATCTCAGGCTGAACTCCACGAATTGCATGGTGCTGGTGCTGCAGCGCCACAGATAGTTTCTCCTGGCGCTGTTGTTGCTGCGCATGAGCTTGCGCGGAGTAAGACCCGAGTGGTTCCATGGACGCTAGGTGAAAGGCGGAGACTGCGAGGATCTGGTGCATGAGGTAGGGCGAGCTCGTAGCCACGGCCGGAACCTTGTCGCGCCAGGTGTGGAGGTTAGCCCCGGGCAAGGTTGCGGAGGTTACGGAGGTGAAGTGGTTCATCAAGCCGAGATCCGTCATCCAGGGGTAGGCGCCTTCGGTCACGGATCCGACGGGAAAGCCTACCCCTAAAGAGGGCGGCGGTGTTGTCGATAAGACTCCTGGTGGAGTGCTTTTGGATGAGGTGGTCGACGAGTCGTCTCTGTGGCCCTCTAGTGCAGATGCGCGGAGTTGAGGACCATCCTGGATGGAAGATGGCGTTAGGCTACAATCTATCTGTAGTCTAACGCAAGCACCACATGGCCGGTTCTCATCGCACTGAAGCGAAGTCAGCCTTGGATCTCTTGTTCGGTGGGAAAGATGGAAGGAAAAGCGCGAGTCTCCTGATACGCGGCAAGCCAACCACGCAACGCACCTTGACCTTTCTCTGTTTACAGTTGGAACAACCGTTGCGAGACTTCTTGTGTCCAATCCGAGGCATGTTGGATAGAGGCACGATACACGACCAATTTCGACGTCTGCTTTCGAATTTCGACTCGATTCCGCAAAGTAGGTAGTTGGACTGGGGCGCCCGAACCCGAAGCCGACCGACCGATCATACATATTTATCTATCCTTAGTGTACCCAAATTGAGTTGCGGAGATTTGATTTCTAAGAGCCGCGGACTTTCTAAGCTTAGACAATGGGCGAATCAACGCCCGCGACAAAAGCTTGTCAGTGCTAAACTTACACGTATTCGACGCAAGGGCCACCTGTCATTCGAATATCAGCCAAGACTCAAGCCAAGAGATTGACAACTTCAAGACACGGGATAATTTCGACAGAGCAGCAAGCATAGCCTCAATCATGTTTACGAAGGATACGCGGGAAGAGTTATCGATTTCAAATGTTTACCGGGTAATTGGAGGCGCGAGATTAAAGAATGCCCAGTGTCTTCGCCGTATTTATATGACCATGAGATGGGACAACATGCCGAGTTTCCTTCACTTGTCCGGGAAAATCCCTATTATTGCCACAACTTCAATTTCTCGTCGAAGACAGTATAAAACAGTGCTTTGTTGCTCTGAGAAAATACCTCGATAATTCATCGTCCCAGTCATCTAGATTCTAGAACCATGGACTCACCAACCGAGAACAGCCCAGGAGAATTCGTTTTCTACCACTATGAACCTTCTCTCCCAGCAGCATGCGTTTTCATCGCTCTCTTTGGCATCTCGTCCGCGCTGCATCTTTATCAGATGATCAAGCTTAGAGCCTGGTACTTTGTTCCATTCTTGATTGGCTGCTGCTGTAAGTGATAATATCGTCGCTAGTCCATGCCTCAGTAGGCGCATCTTCCTTATTACCTCGCACTTACCGACACGCAATGTCACAGTCGAAATTGTGGGCTATATAGGCCGTGCACTGTCTGCAACAGAAACTCCAAACTGGTCGACGACCTCCTACACGATCCAGAGCTTGACGCTTCTTCTTGGGCCCGCGCTCCTTGCCGCGTCTATCTACATGGTCCTGGGCCGCCTCATTCGCTTTCTCGAGGCCGAGCACCTGGCTTTGATCAGGACAAAGTGGTTGACTAAACTCTTCGTTTTGGGCGACGTGATTTCTTTCGTGACGCAGGGCGCAGGTGGGTTTCCTTCTTTCCGGTTTTTACCACTAAGTTATTTCAGACCCGCGGATAGTTGGGCTGACATTTATTTTGAACAGGCGGTGCTATTCTATCCCGAGCAAAATCTCTATCCGACGTTGACCTCGGAGAAAACATCATTATCGCCGGCCTCGCAGTCCAAATCCTCTTCTTCGGAGGCTTTATCGTCGTCACCTGCCTCTTCCACTATCGCATCAACCAGAACCCCACCGACGCCTGCAACTCTGCTTCCCTGCGCTGGAAACCAATTCACTGGATCCTGTATGGCGCAAGTCTTCTGATCATGATTCGGTCGGTTTTTAGGGTTGCCGAGTATGTCACTGGTAGCAATGGAGCGTTGATGGCAAGCGAGATGTACATTTACGTCTTCGATGCGGCGCTGATGCTCCTTGTTGCAGCCGTATTCAATGTATTCCATCCGGGTACCATCATTCAGACAGAGAACAAGTTGACGGCCATCTCGGAGAGCAGCGTGCCTCTTGATTTGCAAACTTTCACTTAGATGCTTTAGTTGCTTGTTCTCTGGCGCTGAGTTTGGGACAACGGCGGAGATCGTGATGCTGATTGCTCGTGAAAGAGGGGAATTTTCGTGGATTTCCAGAGGTTCAGCAAGTACATTCGGAACCTCTGCAATGGGCATCACATGTAGGATTGGAAGTTTACGTTCGTTCTTGCTTTGCAGTTTTGGACTGTTCATACTAATACAAGTCTTCTCTCATGACGCAACCAAGTCTTGCAGGCTCGTCAAGTCGACTCATGCCGTTTTATTGTGTACTAATTGAGGCACAGCAACAATCAGTCAGGGGTCGCTTATCCCGAGAAGATCGTCTACCTCATCAATGGTTCCTCGTCCTGTCAACATGTTTATTTACGTCAACTCTAGCAAAGTCGTTCAAGATCGAAGTTTCTCATCTTAGAACCACAAGCATTGCAATCCTCTCACTACGAAGTAACCCCTCAAGAAACCATGTGTGACCCTGACGCCATTTTCGAGCCCGTCTCTTTCCGATGTTTTTGTCTGCTGACAAGGAAATATTTTCAGGGGAGGATCACTATACGAGTGCCAATTAGTCTCCTTCAGGCAGGTGAACAGTCAGCCTACAGCGCCGAGACAGAATGCTTGAGGGGCATTAAGACCGGCTGTTCCCGATTGCCAGGGGTGTTTGTTCCGGTCTTACATTTTCGAGCCCTGTTGCGAATCCTTCGCCAAAAGGGGACTTTGGTCGGGTCGTCGCGGTATCGAGGTACTCAATCTCAGGCGCGTCATCTTACTGTCGAATCTAGTCAAGCATCAGGGAGGCGGCAAACATGGAAGCCAATCGAGCCGTGACCGCCTCATAATAATCCTCAGTGAGCAGCGATTCTGTTACTTGAGCCTGCGATGGCATCTCTGACGTTCACACCAGCCGCAACTAATACCATGGAGCTTGGATACAGTCAACAATTCATGGCCAAAGACGCGTTCGCCTGCTCCGATAGTTCAGCATGGAGCTCCACGCTATGCCTTCAAGGCTTTGGCCTTAATCCTCGCCTAGAGGAAGTCATCTTCTCCATTCTTCCTTGCTCGATCGCATTAGTCTGGGGACTTCATCGTCGGTACCAGCTGCAGGCCAGAGCAGTGGTCTCATATGGACACATCCGCCCAGTGGCTAATCTGGTCAGCCTCATCATTTTGAGTTTCCTGTTACTGTTGATTGCACCCACTTCAGTCGCCATCGTCCCAGTTACTATTATTTTGACATCCGGCATTGTTAGATATGCTGGGCAGCAAAGTGACGCTTGGATCGACCAAGTATCAGGTCTTCTCACGTTCAAACAGGCATGTTCAGATAGATCTGACTGAGCAGAGTTGCCGAGGCTAATCTACTCAAATAGGTTATTTGGCAGGCCCTCATGGCGTTACAAATCATCTTACTCATGAGATTTGCCCTTTGGAGAGACAGTCAGAGTCAATTTGGTGTCAATCTTGCTTCTTGGATATTGTCGGTTACGACCAGTATCCTTTTCACATTGCTATCGGAACGAGAGCATCGCAAATCACTCGCTCCATCTGCCCTCCTTCAGGTATTCCTACTGATGACCATATTTCTCGACGCCGCCCGCGTGAGCTCGGCTTGGCATCTATCACCGCAAAACAACAGCGAGGGTTATATCGCCCTGCTCTTGACAATTCAAGTCATCCTCAAGGTACTCTTACTCGCAGCTGAGTCCGTGTCAAAACCCACCGTCATCGCCATCCCAGCTCGGAGGGTCTCGAGAGAGGAGACAGCAGGTATCTTTGGCAAGAGCTTCGCGACATGGGTCAACCCTCTGCTGCGCCTAGGGTGGAAGAAGAACCTTGTAGCAGAAGATCTTGATCCGCTTGACGAAGCCCTCGATGGCGAAGCGGTGCTTGAGCGCCTTTCCTCGGCATGGACGAACGGTACGCAGCTCTTCTCCCCTTGTCCTGATAATGATGTTGCTTCTTGAGTGACGCTTGATGCTGAATGATACTTCCCATAGTCGATCGCGACAAGAATCACGCCCTAGTCGTTGCGGTCTTCAAGGCCTTCCGAGCCGAGCTGTTCTTCATACACATCCCGCGCGTCGGTATGGTGGCCTTTGGTCTCGCGCAACCCCTCCTCGTGAAAACCACAATCGAGTACATTCGAGACCACCATGACAAGCCCATCATTTACGGTCAAACCCTCGTTGCCGCCTTTGCCATCACATACCTTGGACTAGCCGTACGTATTACTACTCTGATCCTCGGCAACCTAGAGACTGCGGAACTAATCACGCCTTCCTTGCCTGCAGATCTCTACAAGATGGTCCGGCCAACTCACCCACCGTCTCATCACCCGCATCCGCGGCGCCCTCATCGCCATCATCTACCAGAACATGCTCACCCTCCGCGCAGAGACTGGTAACTCCCAAGCGGCAGTCGCGCTGATGAGTACGGAGGTCGAGCGCATCACCGTGGCGGCTCAATGGTGCGTCGCTATCATCCCTAATCTCCTCCAGCTCGGGTTCGCCATGTGGATCATGAGCGAGCAGCTTGGGGCTGTGAGTGTTGCCCCTATCATCATCGCGCTTCGTAAGTCGATCGTCTCTTCATAGCTCTGATATCATGAACCTTGTGTTTGTCTAATAGGTTTGATAGTCAGTGTGTCAGCCGGCATCAAAACGGGGCAGCTGATCCCGCCGCGCCAGCGGAGGTGGATGCAGGCGATCCAGAAGCGGGTTGGCATTACCACAGAAATCATTGGCTCGATCAAGGGCGTCAAGATGAGCGGCCTGACTAGTACAGTTCAAGGGCAGATTCAAGGCTTCCGGGACTTTGAGCTGGATGAGTCGAAGAAGTTCAGGAGAGTGCAGATTCTCAACGTTCTCATCGGTAGGCCAAGCACATCATGCGCTCCTCAATGATACTGCGTCTAACACTGCCTAGGTCAATTCCCATCTATCATGACCCCGTCCATCACCTTCGCCGCCTTTGGCATCATCTCGAAACTGTCCGGCGGCCGGCCTCTCAACGTGGTTCAGGCTTTCACATCCCTTAGCCTCCTCGGTATTCTAATCAACCCCGTTTCCGAGCTCGTCATGATTCCAAATAACCTCGGAGCGGCGATCGGGTGTCTTGATAGGATCCAAGAGTACCTCGCCAAAGAGAAGCGGGAGGATTATCGTCTCGTCAAACCAAATACAACTTCGGACCCCGCCGTGCAGGCAAGCAATGGAAATAGCGAGTCGCCACAAACTGACAGCCAAGCCCGGCCCCTGATCAAAGTCTCAAACGGTTCTTTTGGCTGGCACAAAGACCAAGCCATTCTCAAGTCCCTAGACCTCGAGATCCGCCCAGGGAGTCTCACGATTCTCGTCGGACCAGTGGGTTCGGGTAAATCTACCCTACTGAAGTCCCTCGCGGGCGAGACGTACCGTATCTCGGGGTCGGTCGAGTACGCAAGCTCAACAGACGTGGCGTACTGCGACCAAGACCCCTGGATTCTGAACCAGAGCATCAAGGAAAACATCATCGGCGGCGTCTCTTCGCGTGAAGAGGCAGACTTTTACGGCAAGATTATTCGCGCATGTCAGTTGGAAGAGGATCTTGATCTCCTTCCGCAAGGCGATGAGACCATAGTGGGAAGCTCGGGTTCCGCTCTTAGTGGTGGTCAAAAGCATCGGATTGTATGTCATACGACTCAAAGCCTCTTCCAGACGAGTTGTAACATGTTACTGACGGTTTTTATAAGGCACTTGCTAGAGCCGTTTATAGCGCAAAGCAAATCGTCATCATGGACGATAACCTGAAAGGTCTAGATTCTAAGACGGCTTCGAAATGCTTCAACTCATTGTTTGGGATTGCTGGCCTTTTACGTGGGGAGGGGCGGGCTGTTATCTTTGCGACGCACAATGGTGAGAGACTCTCATACTTTCTCTACTGTCCCTGTCTTTATGCCATCAAGCTGTATGAACGAGCACGCACTGACATGGCCAACCATGATCACAGCCCAGTGGTTGCGTTCTGCAGACAACATCATTTCTCTTGGTAGCGACGGAACCATTTCTGAGGCAGGCTTATATGAAGACCTCTGCAAGACCGGAGGCTACGTCAGTACTCTCAAAGTTACTCAGAAAAGCGAACATGAAGACGGCGACTCGGCGGAGGCAGGAGTAGGAGGAGAAGAAAATGGCAACAAGAAGGGCAAGGCTGCCGCGGTTCCCAAGCCAGATGACTCGTCCAAGACCAAAGCTCGCGGCGCCGCGAATACGAGTTCCTTGTTATATTACATCAAGTCCATGGGAACTACACCCTTTGGGCTTTTCGTGGCGATGGTCATCTTTCAAACCATCTGCAGAATCATGCCACGTAAGAAATCTGCCAAGCTAGTCCCTTACCTTCTATGCCACTTGGCTATGAGTCAGGCGTGATAGCATTCTCGGAGCATACTAACTCATCTATAGGCCTTTGGGTCAAGTTCTGGGTCGCTGCCAACGAGAAAGGAGGACAAGAGAATGTGGGGATGTGGGTGGGTGTCTACATCCTCTGGGGCGTCTTGACGGAGATGGCCCTCGCCATCGAGTGCTAGTGAGTTCCATACCCCCCAAAATCCCTCCTCCCTACTCTTCTCTAAAGACGGCGCCTGTGTTGCTGACATACTTACGTTCCGATCTCAAGCTACTTCCTCGTTGTCATTGTTCCTCACTCGGCCAAGGGGCTTCACTTTAGCGTTCTCAAAGCCGCTCTCTCGTAAGACTCGTTCTGCTTTGCCTCTTCGATTGGAATGAAGACATCTGACGGACGAAACTTTTCCAGCGCACCCCTTTCTTTCTTTGTGAAGACCGATACAGGCGTCATCATTAACCGGTAAGCCCATCCATACTTTCTCCAACACCATCTAGACCCTCAACTGACACCTTACGCTTCCATCCAGATTCAGCCAAGACATGAACCTCGTCGACCTCCCCCTTCCCCTCGCCTTCATGCTGACCTTTGACAGTAAGATACAACTCCAACCTCTCTCATCTCTTCAAGTCATTGCAGTCACTGACACCAACAGACCTCACCCTCGCAATAGCAGACATAACCCTTACAACCCTCGCCACACCAATCCTCTCCCTCTCCATCCCAATCCTCATCCCCCTCCTTTACCTCCTCCAAAGAATTTACCTCCAAACATCCCGCCAAATCCGCCTCCTCGACCTCGAAACCAAATCCCCGCTCTTCTCGCACTTTATCGCCTCCGCCACTGGCCTCATCACCATCCGCGCCCTCGGACCCCGCTGGACATCCCGAGTGCAATCTCAGAACCTGCAACGGCTAGACCTCTCCCAACGCGCGTTCTACGCGATGGGAAGTCTGCAGAAATGGCTTCTACTGGTGCTGAATCTTGTCGTTGCTGCGTTGGCGGTGCTGCTTGTGGCGTCTGCTGTTTGGTTGAGAGACCGTGTGGACGCGGGGCTGCTTGGGGTCGCGCTCGTGAGTGTCATGACGTTTGGGCAGCTGTTGACGCAGTTGTTGAACTATTGGGCGCAGTTGGAGACTAGTTTGGGTGCTGTGACGAGGATCAGAGAGTTCGAGGCGGAGACTCCCTCTGAGGAGAATGACAACGGCAAGGATCCTGTGGTGAAGGAGTGGCCTTCCAGGGGCCGAATTGATATCCGCAACGTGTCGGCGGCATATGATGACCATCAGGTTTTCAGTGGCATCAATCTCACTGTTGAACCTGGAGAGAAGTTGGCCATCTGCGGACGAACGGGCAGCGGGAAGTCCACCCTTCTTGCCTTGCTACTGAGACTTCACGAGCCGTCTACCGGTGTCATTGAAGTGGACAGTGTAGATATCCGCAGCGTGCCCATTGCACGGTTGCGTGAATCTCTCGTCGCGTTGCCACAGGATCCGCTCTTCCTACCCGGTACCGTTCGTCACAACTTGGACCCGTATGAGTCTTGCAAAGATGACACCGATATTTGGGACGCTTTGGAGAAGACGGGGCTCAAAGCTCTATTCGAAGACAAGGGAGGTCTCGAGGCAAATCTGAACACTGACTGGCTGAGCGCGGGACAGAAGCAGCTTTTCTGCATGGCGAGGGCCATCTTGAGGGATAGTCGTGTCTTACTGCTCGATGAAGCAACCAGCAGGTAAGTCTACCCATCATTTGCATTCTAAATCGGCCTCAGGAAGAAAGCGTTCGCTAACGTTTCCCAAAAGTCTCGATCAAGCCACTGAACAAGTCGTGCAAGACCTCATCGGCAGCAAGTTCCAGGATTGGACCATCATTGTTATTGCCCATCGGCTGCGGGCTGTTGTGGACTTTGACAAGGTCGTGACGCTCCAAGACGGAAAGGTTGTGGAGTTTGATAGTCCCAAGAAGCTGCTCGAGGACGGCGGCCAGTTTGCTACGATGTGGAAACTGCAAGAAGGGTGAGCGAGTCCTTTCCACCCTGAACTGCCAATTGCACAACCTCCGTACTGCAAGATGAATAGAAGATGGAGACGGCTAGGAGGACGATTGGAGCTATTCGTTTCGACTACCTTACTAGTCATCAAAAAGGGGCTTGCATTAGAAACCTGTGCATCCTTTCCCATGGATGAGCAAGGGCTCTCATTACTAGAACATATATACTTTTCTTCGTGTGCATCATTCTCTCCCTGATTTCAAACCATCTGCCTCCAGGATGCATTCGGGCCCATTTGTGCCTATTTGCTCGTCATCTTCGCCGCCGCCTCCTTCGCGAGGGCGCGAGCCTCATCATCTGAAGCCGTCTGCGATATCGACGTGATGCTGTCCGCCCAGAGACCATACCTCTCCTCATTCAGTCCCTTCCACTCGCGGTCTGCATACTTGCTCCCCGGCTTGCCCGACTTGCCCTCAAAGTTGCGCTTCTTCATGCTGAGGTCATGTAGCGCACCTACGGCGTGATTGGTCCACTGGTAGGCAATCCTGGTGGCAATGACGTCTTTGCCGCCTTCACTCCCAGCATCCTCTTCCTCGAAAGCGGCACGCAGGGCCCAGAGACCGTAGAGAGAGAAGTCAAAGGGGTCCTGGGGGTTGGTGAGGTCGGCGCGGGCGGTGAGCTGGGCGGCGAAGGCAGAGAGGTTTGTCCAGCTTGCCTTTTCCTCGGCCGATGCAGAGGTGTCCGAGGTGTCTAGGCGCGTTATTACGGTTTGCCCTCATATAAAATAGCACAGGGGTATGTATAGGGCATTTCCCCTGCTACAAATTGTAATTGTACTCACCAAAGTTCCACAGATCACGGGCAACCCACCCAAAGGTGGGAAGATCTTTCCAGACAACTTGATTGTTGAATTTCAGGGGCTGGCCATCTGACGCCGTGACGGTGGTCTCGCGCAGACGTTGCAGGAAATCGACGAGCGGGGCCTGCTTCTCTGGAGCGGTCTGCTTGGCAACGGCGAAGATTGCGTTGTATGTGTCCCAGAGGAAATCCTCGATCTGAGATTCGGACTTCTTTGCCAGATCCTTGAACTCGTCAACGGTGTTTTCGAGTGCCTTCTTGTCGGTGGTGCCGTCGGTCTTGATGAAGGAGCCGAGGGACTTGTAGGCGGGCAACGCAGCAATGGCGTCGTTAACGCCCACCTTGGGCGCATCAGTTTTTGGCAACAAGTTATTCATTTTGGGTATATGTGAAAAAGAACGTGAACGAGTACAGAGAAATGGCTTTCTAGAGGTATTTGAACCAGAGGTGGAGGGGTTGCGATGTTGACAGGTTGACAGAAGGTGTGGCGGTGGTGGAGGTGCTAGTGTTGATAGCCGTTTTATGGCGATGTCACAACGGGAAGGTGGGAAGCCTGGACGAGGCCAATTTGGCCAATCTCGGCCCACGTGGAGGCAACGCAGCTTCACTGACGTCGTCAGCGGGGAGTCGCGCATGCGGTACGTACTCGCAGTCGTACTTGCCAGAGCCTGTGAGAACCTTACCTTATGTAAGCAGGCAAGCGAGGAAGGAGGCCCCGCTCTCGGCTGCCACGTTGCACCGTGCACGGTGACGAGAGGCAGGAGCCGGCCGGGCAGCCACGGAAGGCGTGACGGGCAGTGACAAGACGAGACACGCAAGCCATGCACTCTTTCTTGATTCCTCCAATGCATGTGGCTGTGTCTGGAAAGTGTTTGCTTGACAGTTCAAAGTGTGGCACGTCTAGCTGAATTATGTGCATTTATTTTCATTGGACCTAACTGCATCTCGTCTCGGTTGATCGGCTCCTCCCGCCCTCCAGCGCAGGACCTGGCGCTGCAAAAAACCCATATCATCCAGCCAATCGCCCCCAAACGAAGTGGAGACGGCGGCCTCTGGGAAACAGGCACAAAGATTAAGCTTATGTTTTTTGTCAAGCTTTGATTGGTGCCAACTCTGATTCAAGTGACTTTTCCCTCTACTCCTTCCTGCGCCAGCGCCGTCTCTGGACCCGGCTCACCTGAAAACGCCGCGGAAACGCCTAAAGATCAATAAAGTTTTGACATGTTTGGGAGCGTTTGGGAGTTGCGAAGGAACCGCCCAGCCTGGCCCCCGGAACAGGAAGGGACGACGTGAGCTGAAATCGACTGGATTTAATTTGCATTTTCCACACTTGGCACACGGGAATCGGGTTTCTCGCGCCGGCCAAGTTTCTCGGCAGCTTTGTTGTCCCTTCTTCGCTCGCCTTATTCTTTCAGTCAACTCAATAAAGCATTCGCAACTTTTAATCGCGGGCAGGCCCATCATCTTCTTGATTATTGACTCGATTCACGCCACACCTCGCCATTATCCAGCTCTCCTCACGCCTGGGAAGACGTTACAGATCCGCATAAATACCACACCAACCAACGTCCACGGACACATCGACAGCAATCTCATCTCAAACACCCTTTTAGTCCACCAGACCACGCCATCCAAAATGGTCTCCTTCAAGTCCGCTCTCACCCTCGCCCTCTGCGCCGTCTCCGCCGCCGCGAACCCCATCGCCAACCCCGAGCCCGAACAGGCCCTCGAGAAGCGTCAGGGAACAACCGACGTCGGCACTGTAACCTGCGGTAGCAACAAGTACTCCAAGAGACAAATCCAGGACGCCACTGCCGAAGGCTGCCGTCTCTACGCCGCGAACCAGCAGATCGGCACCAGCCAGTACCCCCACCGCTTCAACAACCGCGAGAGCCTCGTCTTCACCACATCGGGCCCCTACCAAGAGTTCCCCATCATAACGTCTGGAAACTACAGCGGACGTAAGTCGCATCTGAATACCCTTAGCATCTCATCATTCCCCAGGAACCGGTCTCTTGGCATTTCAAGTGCCACCTTCGCCGTTCTTGGCACGTCATCGAACATGAGAATACGCACTGACATTGCTACATCATGCAGGGGCGCCCGGAGCCGACCGTGTTGTGTTCGACCCGGCCTACCGGGGCAGCTGTGTCTACGTCGGAGCCATGACCCATACCGGCGCTGCATCGCGCAACGGCTTCGTCTCCTGCAACCAGACGAGGTCGTCGTCTTCGGCCAACGGCACGTCTGCTGCGTCGAGCTACAAGGGGCCCGGCTCAATTGGGGCTGTTGTGTCTATTCTCTCACTTCTGGCACTCACTGCTTAATCGAAATCGGCAAGCAACACATCCAAGCAAACGCCGAGCGAGGGGTAATGTGAGAGACGGAGACATGACGATGCCGCTGGTCGAGGGGAAGCGGATCAACCCAACTCTCAACGTATAGACTCTGGTCTGGCCCTCATTGGGCGCCGTCCCCGGATGAGAGAGAGTTCAGCAGAAAAACAACAGAAACGAGGCTATCTGCGCCTGATGTCTATGTTATTTGGAAATCGCCTTTTTCAAACAGGATGCGTAGGAGGGGCTAGAGCTGGGGATTGAGTTCAGCGCTTTGCCGACCGTGGTATTTTGCCCGACCAACTGAGTTGTAGCCGCACCAAAGAGGCAGGGGAATCCCCTTCATCGCAATACCATACGAGAGTGAAATGGCACTGGGAAACTTTCATCGGGTGGCTAGCCTCTTACACTACGTTTTGTGGCCTGACAGAAGGTGACGCAGAAGGGATCTATCTTCAGAGCCTTTGGTCTGGCGTTGAAGTAAACCGCTTGAGCCTCTACTCACTAATTACAAGCTGAGCCAGTAATAATGAAACTTATCTGGACGCGTATCGCTCCCGGGAATTGCACTCATCTCATCGTCAATTCTTACTACAAGCCCTGCTCTCATCTCTGCTCTTACCCTCGACTGCGTTCACTCACTCACAGCCTCCAACATCCAATCATGACCCCTGTCTGCGTGCTGTTAAGTGACCCCACCACTTTCAGGATGACGGCTGCCTGCTCATCTCAGCCCAAAATCTCACCCAAGCATCGGGGCAGCTCACTCTCAATCTCAGCCTCGTAGATGTACATCACATGAAACGAGAACCACCAAACGAGGGTTTACCATTCGAGCTGGATGCACCATGATCGTCTGTAAATTCTGCCAAACTACAGTCCTCGAGTCTGGGAAACGATGGGACTATCACCACCCAGACGCCGACTCATTCGAAGGCTCACTGCGTTCTCAGTGTGTCTTCTGCACAAGGCTGGCTAAAGGCCTCGGTGAAATCAAACCTTGGTTTGACCACGAACTCAAGGTCAAATCTCTCTTTCGTTGGAACATACGGCAGGCTGCTCAGATCCGTGAGACCAAGGGCCATGTCTCCGTGACATTTCGACCGGTGCCAGGCCGCGCTCATGGAAATGTGAAGAGCGAAGATCTGCCAGAAGTCACTTTCTATCTCTTCACCGAAGAAGGTTGGTCATTCTCATCGCATATGCCACATTTGCATTCAAGAACTCATGCACATACTCACACCCCTCCTAGACTTGGGCGACATACCCGAACGGCACGAACTCGGAAACCGAACAGACTCAGGGGCATCCAAAGCCCAAATGATAGACTGGATGCAAGACTGCATCTCCAATCACCCAAAATGCATCCGAAGCCACAGCATCAAATCTTTCATACCAACCAGGGTCCTCGACGTCGGCGCACCGAACACCAACAATAACGATGTAACCCCGCCTTCTCACATCCGCGTGATCGACACCACCAAAGAACCCATAGCCGGCCCCTACATGACCCTATCCCACTGCTGGGGCACCGGCTCCTTCATCCGCCTCACAGAGACTAACGTCGACGAGTACACGACCAACGGCATACCCTGGACAAAACTTCAGGCCAGCAACGCGAACTTCGCCGATGCGGTGCAAGTTGTTCGCACGCTGGGGTTGAGGTATATCTGGATTGACTCGCTGTGTATCATCCAGGGTCAGCAGCACGGCGAGGACTGGAACCATGAGGCGCCGCTCATGCATAAGGTCTACCGGAACTCGTGGTGTAACCTCGCGGCGGCGGACTCGAAGGACCACACGCGCGGATTGTTCCGGGAGAGGACAGCAGAGGTAGTACCTGTAAGGTATGAGAGCCAACAACCATCCGTGGCCTCTGGAGATAGGGTGTGGAGGGTTTTACCTGCGGATTTATGGGATCGTGATCTGCTGGGAAGCCATCTTTACACTCGCGGCTGGGTATTTCAAGGTCAGATTCCCACGCCCCCTATCTTGACCCTGACCATTATCTCTTCCCCAGCACACTGACACAGTCCATAGAACGAATGCTCTCCCCCCGCCTGCTCCAATTCACTTCAACACAACTCTTCTGGGACTGCGCAACCCTCACCGCAACCGAATCCCTCCCCCAAGGCCTCCCTGCACCCCTCGACACCAAATCTGCCACCGACAGACACTGGCGCGAACGTCTACAATCCTCCGCCCTCTCCGTCCGACCCCTGGCCGGCACGGCCGAGGACTCGCTCGAAGAATTCTGGAAGAGCGCCGTCGCGGCGTACACGAACTGCGACCTCACCTACGGCAAGGATAAACTCGCCGCGCTGTGGGGTATCGCGAAGCTCCTGCGGGACGCTCTGGGCGAGGAGTACGCTGTGGGGTTGTGGGGGATTAATCTCGCTGAGCAACTCGCGTGGCGGGTCGTTGATTGTTCTACCTCAGAGAGGTATGGTGAGAAGGAGAAGGTTGTGGTTCCGGGGGGTCAGGCGGTTGGGAATCCGAGTTGGTCGTGGACTTCGTTGAAGGGAGAGGTGGAGGTTGCGCCCAGGGTACCGAGGTTGCCGAGATTCTATACCGCATGCGACCACGGAGGTGGGAATGTGAGGTTTCAGATCAAGAAGCCGCTTTTTGGGAGGTTTGAGGGGGAGCATTCAACGGTTTGGCGGGATGAGGTTGTGAATATGACGAGGAAGCTGAATCGGGCTTCGGAGAGGGTGTCGGAGAAGGCTAGGATGAGTGGTGTTACGACGATCACTCCCATTACCGAAGATATCGTGGAGGAGGACGTTGGAAAGGATGGGACACCGAAGTTGGCGGGGCAAGGCGTGGTCACTCAGCCGGAGACGAAGAGGGAATTTGCTATGGATAAGCCTTCGGAGCTTCTGTCTACTTCCCTTCGGATTCAGGCGCATATGTGCCGGGGGACACTCGAGGCAGCTGGGGAAAGTCGCTGGACGTTCATGTACCCGGGACTAAACCAGACTGACGCGCTCATCGAAGCCTATCCGGACATCCAGCCCAAAGAGAACACCGCGCCGTGCGAGATGCTCTTGCTTGCGGCGTCAAAGTTACTGCAGAATAGGTGGGGTCGTTGGTTCCTAGATGATGGGTATGTCGAGGATGAGGATGTAGCCGAGGTGAATTACTCCGGGACGGGGATTCTTGTGGAGAAGGTTGGGGAAGGGCGGTATAAGCGGATTGGTGCTGTGGTGTTTCGGCAGGTGAAGAGAGAGAGTTGGGCTTGTTTGCGGCGGGCGTGTGGGGGTGGTGGGATGGTGTTGGAGGATGAGCTTCAAGTCGAGGATGGAGAGAAGATTTGGCTTGAATAACGACATAGGTCGAGGCTCACCGAGAGTATCTTTGAAACCAACAATGATTTCCTTCAAAGATTAAGTACACTGCAATCATCGATAGGCGTTTGACGCGTATAGAGAGTGGTTCGCATTAGTCGTCAAATGTGATCGAGTGCCATTGGTAGGATGGCTTGTTGAACATCACTTAGGAAACAGCCTCTGTCTGCTAGAAGCAGTGACCATTGCCAACATAGTGGCTTAGAAAGGGCCTATAGGCATGATGTAGTAGACCAAGCCCATTGACTATTTACCACAGTTCAACCAGGTGGTACTTCACATCTAACTAGATACAATCTGATAAATACTGCGGTTCATCTCATTTTAAGTTATTCTACAGTTTCTGTCATGTCGTCGTCATATACGTCAGACTCAAGTCGTTTTCCTCGCTGTAGCACGAAGCCAAACACCAACGCTATCAGAACGCTGCGAAAAACGCTCACAATATCGGGAAATCAATAACCAACCCTTTCAGCTCCACCTTATGCCTCAGTTGGGCTTGGTAGGAGCAGGTCCAGGACCAACCCCCGCACAACCAGTGTAGCCTGCCACGGCCTTGGAGGTGCTGCAAAATCGTTAGTCAAAACCCTCGAGGAACTGGTAAATGTCGTTCTGTGAACTTACCAATCCATGATACAACCCTTATCCTTCCCGTCCTTGCCTTTGTCGCCCTTGTCTCCGAGGCCCTGGTCTGCTCTTCTCAACAGAGATCTCTTAGCGGCTCCGCAGGCGTCTATACACTTGACATGGTCGGCGGCGGTTTGTACCTCGCAGGAAGCGATAGCGCCGCCCTCCTTCTTGCCTCCTTTGTCCTTGTCGCCATCGGCTTGTAGGTCGGCCGGTGCTGGTGCGGCGACGACGAGTGTGGCGGCGAGGAGGGTGAATACTGTTGAGAAACGCATGTTGGAAGTTGTGTGAGATTGGTAGAGTCTTTTTGAGGAATGCGTTTTGAGGTTAGCTGAGTGGATAGGTGTGACTCCAAGTTATATAGATAATGAAGAGTCTGTGATCGTGCGAAGTTGATCTGGTTGCAGTCTTGGACTCTAATTTAGAGATGTGGCCTGAGCAGTGTCTTTTGGATCTTGTTGTTGTAGATGTGATAGGTAGTGCTTGATGTTAAACAGGATCTCTACTGTGGAAGAGAATTTCCGCTCCCTTTATAAAGATTCTTGTCATGACAAAAGCCCCTCTTGGATTTCACCTTGCTTCTGCGAATACGATTCCATCATACCATGTCACGATGAACATTACCTCAGAGTTCAATCAACACCCAACGGCCCACATGCACCTTGAAGCCTATTTCGATCAGTCCCTGGAACGTCAGTGGATGACGTCCATTCATGCTCTCGCATTAAGCATCCGCTTTAGGCTGTGGGTCCCAGATTTAGACTTTAAAGGGCCCGCTGGCCGTTGTGAATTTAGTAGGAAAACAGGGATGGTCTGTACGGTCTTTGGCCATACAACATCGGACGACCAAATAATCCGAATACGCAAAGGGAGCAGCCGCAAGGCGCCAAGGCCAGAAAAGCGACGGTCCCTTAGTGGTGGCCTTGGGCGAGTTTGGTATAAGTGACGTGTCTGTGTGCCTTACTTCGGATGAGATGCCGAGTAATTAACATGTAGGCTAGGATGATACCATCAAAAATACGGTAATGATATCAGGGTACCACCTCGTTGGGAAGCAACCTCGGAGGATTTCACGAGCCTCGGGGCCAACACGTGAAGGCTGCCGTCTTGAACTTTGACTTGCGACTTGCATTATGGAGATTGTCAGTTGAAAGGTTCCAGTCTCTAGAAGATTCAAGCATCATCAAGTCAGGAGATCACGTTCGGCTGCGGTGGTGATTGGTAGTCGAGGGCTCTCTCACCCCTGACAAGACGTCTATTAGAGAGCCTCATCGCATTGAATCTGATGGAACCTCGTCATCGCCAATCAATATTTCCGGGTACCTGGGAGAGTCGTCATAGCCCGGTGAGCGACTGTTCGGATGGCCAGCTCGGTTTAAAGCCCCCAGTACCTGAATGCCGAGGAAGATCCAGATTGAGAAGCCACTTCGTCGGCTAATTGAAGCCTTACTCTAAATGAACTCTGCGATCGGTAAATCTCTGGGTTCATTGAATTCA